GGACTGGGGGGGGAGGGGGGGTAGAATGGGTCAATGGGGAGAAAAAGGGACATCTGTAATATTTTGAAAAATTTTAAAAAATATATTTAATGAAATGAAACAAAAAACAATAGTGCCTTCTGAATAGAGCAATTCAGATACACATGAACTTGTGTTAAAATTAGAAATCAACTTACGTATTTTAACTCAATGTCTATTCCTATCCTCCCATCCATGAAGCACTCTGATAAACAGGAAGTAGCAAAATTATACAGGTAAAGTTAGAGTTAAATGGTATATCTAAAAGTCTGCAGTATCTCTGAAGTTTGAAGAAGTACTCAGAAAGCCGTGTCAGATCTTTCATAGCTCTGGTCAAGGGCAACTTGTCTTTTGAGTGATTGAGTTCTGTGGGTGCTGAACCAAATGCCCTGGAAGAAGTATAGATTTGCACTTTGAAAAGGGATTTTTTCATTTTTTCATTGTGGCTCATGTACACAAATGGAACTATTAACTTACTATTCTTAACGGCCAAGTTATGAGAAATGAACCTCTCACAAAGCTTAGAAATTCCTTGTTGTTTAAATTTTCATCTACGATTACTTAAAGGATATTTATTTTATGTTTCATTTTCTCCTCTCCTTGTAAAATCCAGCTCATGGTGTTTGGAATCTTCCTGTGCCTGGACGCATTTCTGTATGTGTTCACCCTGCTTCCGTTAAGAGTTTTCCTGGCGCTGTTCAGGCTCTTCACTCTGCCTTGCTATGGCTTAAGGTAAGTGTAACATCACTATTTTAAATGTTTGTTATTTTTACTGTGTGTAGTTATTAAACTAAATAATCATATGGGTAGGTTTTGCAGAATAAGGATAATTCATACACTTTCATTCACACTTTGGTCTTTGATGCATAAAGTAATGCTGTTTATCTGTTTAATGGATATCAGATAATATGTTTGTACAGTATTTGTACTTCATATAAGCACATTTATTTTTTGAATGGTTTTGAACCAGAACCTTGCTTTGGCCAGTAAGCAAATGCTAAGAATGCAGGAGGCTGTGGGTGGGGAGGGTAGAAAGGGACTTGGACCTGAGAATCAGGGACCTCACAGCCACTGCACGACCTTGCCCTGTACCTTTATTTTCTTGAAGGCCCTTGGCCACCTGGACATCACCTTTAAAGTGAGGACTGGTGGGGGGCAGGTGATATCAGAAGCTCCTAAGGAGAGGTTACTGCAGGGGTTCCTCCCCCATCCCTTTTGAGAGTCACTGTCTTAGTGGCCTGGAGGGCCTTAGTGACTGATTACAGGTGAGACTCCCTCTGATTTGTGAGAGGTGATAGACTTGAATACCATTGTCTGAGTGGGGAGCTTTAGGCAGCCGGACCCAACATTGATTAAATGGTGAGCAGTGGACAACTGCCTGACTTCTGTCATCATGTTTCCCCATCAGTAAAAAGGGAGTATTGAGAGCCCAGCATCTTTCACCGCAGAGACTGGGCGGTGTAAAACAATACCCAGTGTAGTACCCAGTTCACAGTAGACGGGAACAGCGTTAGTTTCCTTACCTTTCTTCTCTACCAAAATTTAGGAACCAGAAGGTGAAAATGTGACGCTTACATGAATCTTGATCCTTTTTGGGGCCTGAGGTTAGAAGATGTTGGGTTTTACAGTTTTCTTCCTGTGTGTTATTATGGCAACATGCCTGCACTCTGTGTAATCGCTCACTCCCTTAGCAGTATCATATGGTTCTTAGCATAGTTGCCCGAGTTACGTTTCTAGCATGCATCACTTTTCTAAATACATTTCATTCCGAGAAAGCTTTAAAATGCTGAAATGGACAATAACATGTAAAATTGCATTTAACTGTAAAGTAGGTGACTCTTCCATGACATAGAAGACATATAATTAATAAAATTATTATCAATAGCTTAACCATAGAAACTGAGTTACGGAATCATTTGTCAATATACAGAATTATATGTTGATGTTTTTGGAAGACTAAAGTCATGGAAGATGCTGTTTTATTTATTTTTATTTTTATTTTTTTTGGAAGATGCTGTTTTAAAGTAGTAAAAGAGCATATACTTAATATTTAGTGAGCACTGAAAACACATGTAGTTCATTTAAAAACGAGCCTTACTCAGTTTTAATAAGGAAGAAAAAATCCTTCCAGTATATATGGAAGAATTTATTGATCACGATGATCAGATTGTGAAAAGAGTAAAATTTTTTTCTTGCGAGATCACACAGAGTAAAACAGTTGTAGAGTTAAGATCACATCATTGTTATATGTGATACTTCACACTCTGTTATCTTACTCTCCTTACAGAATGAGAGAATTGCTACATATTTTTTCAATTACATGTTAATCAGATAGTTGAATCTTTTTAGGAATTTACTATCAACTTTAAGGTATTCAGGTACATCCTTTATAGCTTTGGGAGAATTTTTAAGAAGGCCCAATTGGCAAGCCTCTTTTAAAGACATTTGTAGCATGATCCTTGAATATTAACAAAACCTAACCTATTATACCATTTTCTTTTATCACTATTGGGAGCTCAAAATCATGGTTATTTCACTTGCCTTTTCAGAAGACCACACAAAAGTCTAATAAAGCCAGGTGAAGCAACATAACAAAATAGCCAGTGCCATGTGGAGATTTTCACGTCTACACGATGAGCTAGGTCACTTTTTTTTTTCTTTTTTTTTTTAATATATCTTTATTGATTTCAGGGAGAGGAAGGGAGATGGGGGGGAGAGAGAGACTTGAAACATCAATGATGAGAGAGTCATTGATTGTCTGCCTCCTGCACGCCCCCAACTGGGGATCGAGCCCACAACCCGGGCATGTGCCCTGACCAGGAATGGAACTGCGATCTCCTGGATCCTAGGTCAATGCTCAGCCTCTGAGTCACACCCGGCTGGGCATAGGCTACTTTTTAGTTATTCTCTGATCAACAATGTGAGGCAGATTTGTGTTCTAGCCATCTTAAGTGAAGGGCTTTTCAAGACATGTTCTCTGTGGCCATTGGCATGATGAGGTAAAACATTAAAAGGATATATAACCTAAGGACTCTCTTGGAGAGAGTCTTCCTTGGGTCTGTTAGCACACAGTGGAGTTCACCCAGTGAGTGGAAGTGGGGGTTTCCCGAGGGCCTCTTTTTTAGGACTGTTGTTTGAAGACCCATTTTTTCCAACATATCTAAACTGTGTCATTTCTATGTGTCCCTTGTCACTTGGGAAGCAGGGCACCAAAGTAGCATTCGAGAAGTCTTTCATGTTCTGAAAACTAAGGAGAGGTTTTGCAGGATGCTGGGAAACCTTCAGTCCTCTACTCCCATTGGTTTTGTTGTGAGTAGCCAGTGGTCCCTGGTGCTAACCTTTTCTGTATATTTTAAGATAGTTTTAGTATGTAAAATAAAGATGATTGGTTTTTTATATTACTTTATACATCTCAATCTAAATTTCAGTAACATTTAAAAACAAAATGTTCTAATTTCAAGGTTTTATAACTAAAATGACACTAGAGGGCAGCATGTTACACCCTATATTTAATACCCCAATATGTTTCCCTGTGCACATTTCTTGCTATTTTGCAATTTGGATCAGCTGAAAAATTACATTTTATGCTGTCACTAATAAATGTATGCTATATATAAGAAGTGAAACACAGTTAAAATTATAGAAGAGAACTTTGACAAAGTTTCATTATGCAGAAACGGCCAATTCTGCCTTCTGACAGCTTTTCTTGTAACTTTCTCTGCTCCATTGCGGCTTATTTGATTGTCTTGCCTGTAGCTGTATTGGGTTCCATCTTTCTCAGCCAGCAAAAAATGCTCTTTCCTTCAGTCTGACTTTATTTTTTCAAAGGGGTAAGAAGAAATTAAAGAGACCAGCAAAGACGTTGATTATATTCTTTTATCTGTTTCTTTTTTTTTTTTCACTTTCCTCTACTTCAGTCTTCTTTCTGTTAAAAAAAAAAAAAAAAAGGTTACTCTCTTCCTAGTCTCTTAATTCTCTGAAATTATTCCCCAAAAGGGGGGAAAAAGTGATCCAGATGTTAACATGGAAACAGTAGCTCTTCGCAGTCCCGTGCTCTTTGTTTCCGTCTCACATCTGTAGTAGGATAAATAAAATTGCCGCCTTTTCATATCTGAGATGAGTGTTCCGCCTCTGGTCCTTGCAGAGTTCTGTCTGGTACAGCGTTTGTGAGGCTTTGGAAAGCTGGCAGCCTCCTGGATTTTCTGCTGTTGAATTTATTCTTTGAACCTATTTCTAAATCTTCTGCAGACTTGTTTTGGTTTGGGGTTTTTGCTTGTGTTACAGCTAAGTGAGTAGACAAGGACTGTCTGCCTTCCACTAAGGCTGAGGCCAGGGCGGTTCCGCAGCCCCTCGTGGAAACCCAGCCTTCATCTCGGGCACCCCGCTGGTGGGCATGCCTCCAGCTTCTGACTGTTAAACTGCTGTTCATTTTACGATGCTGGCAGGGTAATTAGTTTGACTTGGTGGTGCGTGTATTGTCTGCAAAGGATGCACTGTTTCATAAGTTTCCGTCTCTCCTTAGTAATCTCAAGAACACTGCGTTGAAAACTATTCCCAGTGAATGAACAATCTTGAAAAACCTTTGCCCCCAAATATTTTATTATTGTAGACTAAAATAAATAAGAAACACACCCAAATTCTTCCAAAGCAGATTCAATATATATTTCTTCCCTCTTTCCCAGGGTAGTACCTTTTTAGAAAAACATTCTAGGTACTTCTTGAATTAGGATGACTTTTTAAATGATGAGGACATGGAAATCAGAATTAAGTTCTGATTCATTATATGAGGTATCTGTGATTCTCAAAAGAAGAAAAGTATTCTGTTATGCTCAGAGAGGTATCAAGTCTAATTTTTCCAAATTTACTTGCAGAATAAAGAATAACCAATTGTCTAAGTGTTTTTAGTTTGCCTGGCATTTTTGTGACCCCTATTTCCTCCTAAAACTTCATTTTGTGTGTGAGAATTCTCAATCACATTTGAGTTAAAAATATCGAGGGCCATTGTAGAGGAAAATGATACTATCTGGTGCTAAGATCTAATAGCTATTTTTGAAAACTTTAGAAACATTTTAGACAGTAGTAGGTGTGGAGTAGGTTTAAGTATTAAATGCTGGAGTGTTTTTCTTTTACTCTAGAGCAAATGAAATACTGTGCAAGCACATTTTCTCATTAACTCACCCTGGTGTTTAGGCATAACTCTTATTTGAGACTTCTTGGGCTTTTAAAATTTTTTTTAAGAGTCAGGCTATAGAGTCTTTTTCTTGAGCATTTGCCTCATCAGAAAGCTCTTACCTCCCAGAAGAATTATGAATTTAAAATGCTGTAGAGTTTCTTAACATTGGGTTTTCTCCATATGCCTGCTTCCTTCAAGATCTACTTAAAATTGACTTCTTACACACACACACACACACACACACACACACACACACTAGATTTTCTTCTTTTTAGACATATGCCTTAATTTAGACGTATGCCTCAGACGTACGCCTGGGTGCTCCATGCCACCCCTGGAGCACACGTAAGGAGAGCTCTTGGTAACTTTCTCCGGGGAAACAGGTTTGTCTGTTATTTCCTCTTACCAAGGCTGAGCTACGTGGCTGATTTGTAGAGAGCAATATATTTGTTTTATTAGACAGTCTCCGTAACGTCAGGTGGTGTTGTCCCTTGTTTCCTCACATGACGCTCTAAGTAGCGTAGCAACATTACAACCTTCTTTCTTTCTTTCTCTCTCTTTCGTAAATCAGACCGAAGGGAGGAGCACTTTCACTTCCTTTATAGAGTGGAATATGGTGTCACAGGGACTCCTTGTGGTGAGTAAACCCTGATTTTTCCTTCTATTCTCTTGGCCAAATTGACATCAGTACAAACAAATATTAATTATAATGAAAAAAAAACCTCAAAACCCAGCAGAGGCAGACACAACCATTGGGAATGGACACATAGAAAGAACATGTGGTTCCCTGTCCTTACTTGCTGGTAAAGCCTTGTCCACATTTATATAGGATTTGACCATGATCTCACCTAACAGGAAAATCACTTGGTAAAATAATCTTTAGTGACACATGTTGGACCAGCAAATACTCCATCCCCAAAGCCACAGCCGTCGGCTGAATCTGGTTCCTTCCATGGAAGCAGCTCATTTTGTGTCACTCCAGACACCCAGCCTGGCTTTACCACACCGTTCAGTTTAAGCATTTAGTAGTTAGTTATTCTACTGTATGTCATGAAAACGTAAGATTTAAAATTTTCAGTTTTCTAATCAAGGAAAATATCTTAATCTCAATACTTTATTCCAATTTAACTTTAAAATTATAAAGGGACCTATCTTTCATAAATGAGAACCATATTTAATATTTTACATGTTCCATTTCGGTAGTGTTTATATTTCTTTATTCTTTCAGTTATTCCACAAATAGCTTAAAATATTTTAAAAAGAGACAGAGAAAGAGAGAAAGAAACAAAGGTCCAGCCTGAATGTTTCATAGTGAGTATCTCATGGTGGTTCCTTGGCATTTGACAGTGATTTGAAGCGAGCCGGGCGGGGCGATACCCTCGCGCCCGTTGGTGTTGCCGCCTCTGCCTTCCTGGGCTTTCTGTCTGAGACCAGTTTTTACTGGTGAGAAGATTATCTTCTGCTAAACGGGAGGAAAAAGCCTGCCCTTCGTCATCTGTGTCTACAATATCAGTGTTTCCCATAAGTCTGAGAGCCCTTTGAAGCCGCGGGAATGCTTCCAGTGGTAATTGTCCAACTCTTGGAAGTCTTTGAACGACTATAAGATAGAATTTAGAAACGTAGAACATTTGGTTTCTGGAACGACGGTTTAACTTGAAAATTTAAAACAAACTTAAGTCCCGTTGCATATCTTGTTTAATATTACCTGTGTTCTGATAACTCACAGCTGACCCATAAATGAGATTAGTGGGAGTTTTACTCTGGTCAGCAGCCTAACTCCACTGGTGTCTGTGTTCATATGGGGTTTGCAGCATTTGCAGAGCGAACTACCACAACTGCTGTGTAACAGGCATTTATGAGGAAGAACTTTGCCTTGAAAGTATTGTTCAGAAGCCAATTTAGAGTTGATTGGCAGGGCTGTGGATAAGCTTCTTATGGAGTTGGAAATGCTTATCAGAGTGTTATCTAAAAATATCCTGGCAGAGAGGAAAGCAAATACTGGGGCGGTTCAGGTTGTTACGAACCAGGTGAACTGTTCTGAGGCTAGGTGTTTTCTTAGACAGGCTGTGATATAAACACATGTCTTTTAAGATTTCACCATGCAAACAATTTTTCATTTTTGCAACTTTCCTTTTTCATTAACAGATACATTTATATGAAAACAAGATCCTTTTTCTTAAGAGTTCTGCTTTTATTTTTTATTTGAATTACACTCCCTATTTTGAAAATCAGAGTCTCTGTAGCAACCAGTTATGACAGAAGATTTTCACCAGAGCAGCGAAAGCACAGAAGGCAGTGAACCCAATAGTCTGCAGTCCTGTTTGTTCTCCTCCTGGAAATAAAGAACAAAAATGATAGATATATTTGTTTCTTAGCACAATAGTTTTTACAGATGTGATGGGAATACAGTGATAAATTATACAGCTTTAAATTATGCTGAAAGATAAAAGGTACTGAGTTGTTGACTCCTGTAAGGTTAACATTTTTTTTAAAGAAAACTCTAGAATAGTGGATGGTAGTGAGGAGCGTGCCTCTGGAGCCAGGCTGCCAGGTTCAGATCCCTGCTCACCACCTCTTCACTCTCCCGCCGTCAGCTGCATGCACACTCCTGACCACCCTTCCCCTCATCTTAAAACTGCGGTGATGATAGTACCCTCCTCCTCGGTTACTGTGAACACTAAATGGACATGTGCAAAGAGCCTGGAATGGTGCGGCCACGTAGTGAATGGATTGCAGCTTAGGTGTTTCCATAGCTTTTCTGCTGTTTTTACAACCTGTTTTATTCCTAGTCAAGATAAAGCTTGTTAAAATTGTTTATGCTAAATTTTTAAGTTTTAATTTATTGCCATTTTTATTCAGAATGTGTGTGGTATTATGTTATTCTGGGACATAGATTTCCAGTGTTTGGTAGTTCTAATTTCTAACAATGACTTGTGCTAAATATAATAGTTCTTCATAGATACACTGACACATTGGTCCTTTGCTGCAAATGTTTATGAAGAAATAGTAAGATATACACATTAATTAGCCCTTTATCTCTTAAATAAAATTGCTTTGACTGGGATCACTTAGTTAAGTAGTTACCAGTCTAGTACCAAAAGCTCTAAGTATAGTTTTCTACTTTAACTAGTTTATCAAAATCATTTTGATAATTAATGTAGATTCGTTAATACCACCCTACTTCTTGTTCGTATCATTTTCTTTAATTCATAAAACATGACCTATGGTTCTTAAATACAAAATCACCCACGACTATTGGTGATTTATGATTTTCACCATATGCCCAGCTGTGCCGGCACTTCTGAGGAAGGGGTGGGAGGTGTATCCGTGCCAAAGCCTCGTTCCCCTGGCCAGACCCGAGGAGACTGTCCCCCATAGGCCAGGAGGCCAAGAGTGTTCAAATGTCTCCTCTCCTGGTTTGAATAAAAAGTATGTTTAGCTCCCAACTCTCGGCAAATGTAACCCCTCCTCCACTTTAAGTGTTGTGGGGGTGAGGGCAGGAAACTAATTGCCTTGGTAGCCAAATACCCTTGGCAGGGATCTATGGATCTGTGTTCTGGGCTGGATGTTTGGAGTAGGAGATGAAGCTGTCTGGGTTCCATAGGGAGGAAAGGGCCGGGGTCAACCTGGAAGAGCAAGGAACTGCTCTGGAGAAAGGGGACAGAGAAGTGGGGATAGAGAATGCTCAGCTTTGTCCTTGATGCAATTTTACCCAAAATTTCAACTGCTAAGAATAATTTTACTCCTGCCCGTCTCAAGACATGTTATCTGACTTTGATGAATTCTGACCCAATCTAGGCCCATTTGTTCAGCCCAGTGTCTTCCCACCTACCTTCAGCCCCCCCTGAACAGTCTTCACAGAGTTTGCCTCTTTTCAGGGCTTTTGCAGCATCCCATGTTCTCTCTATGAACAGATGCAATTCATTCCTGACTGACAGCCACGTGCCATGTGCACTGTGGAAAGCAAGGAAGAGGTTCTGTACCAACTGCCCGCAGCGCCGGCACTGACGCTTCATCATACCTTGTAAAAGTGTTCCAGGTGACACGGGAAGACACAGAGTCCTTGTTGAACTGCACGAGGATCTTTGGATGAAAGGAGCCCCTGACCTGGATGTGAATGAGGGCTGGGAAGGCCCCGCAGAGAATAGGAAGCCAGGGAATGCCGAGTCCTGTCAGTAGAGCGCTCAGAACAGCAAGGGCCCGCTGGAACGGGAGCCCAACCGTGGCCCAGCCTGGGGTCAGGATGTCGTCACGATGGGTAGAGATGAAGAGGCTCTGCAGCTCTTGAGGAAAATACTCGGGGCTTTTTACTGATGGTCCTGAGATCAGAGCTGCCCTAGCGGGAGACAGCATTTCTGTCTGAGGAGTCGGCCTGCAGGGGAGGTAGAGAAAGCCGCTTTCCCATTCTTGCCACAGGAGTTTCTTTTCAGTGAAAAATATTGTTTCTTTTCTAATGTAGTTTTTGCTGTGTCTTAAGTAAGATGTTTCCATTCGCAATTTAGGTTTAGGTCTTCATACTCTGACTTCAGGAGTAAGGAATGATTCCTCTTCACATTAATTAGGGGAAAACTATTTTCCATTCATGCCACAGAGCTAACTTCTGTAATATAAAAGCTGTTCTGCAAACCAGGAAGAAAAGGCTACAGGGAGAGAATTCCAGAAAATATGGATGGCCCAAATGGGTGAAGAAGATGTGTCTCCAACAAGAGAAGTTACCGTTGAAACTGCCCAGGCGCCGTCTTTCACCAGGGGGACTGGCAGAGGTCCAGGAGTCCATCTGACGCAGAGCTGGTGCACGGGGGCCGCGGGCTTTCCCGTCGGTTTCTAGCTGAGGTTAAATTGGGCAACCCCTGCACAGGGCAGTCAGCTGCTTCTGTCAGAACATCACGTGAACATAACCTTGAAATTCCAACTTTAGGAATTTATCCTGCAGACATAATTTCATATATGAAGCATGACATGTGCATTGTAGCCTGGTTTTTAGTGCAAAAGACTAGAAATCTGTCAGTGATATGTTAAATAATTTATGGTACGTGCACTCAGTGGAACATTACACTGCTGTGGAAATAGGTGTTCCTTATGAACCGGTGTGGGAAATCTCAGGCTGTTAAATGAAGAGCACCAGGTACAGACCAGTGTGCACAGAATACAAACGTTGTGGAAGGGACTGATCCACTGGGCGGCAGGACTCCGTCGGGAGGTGAAAGGCTCGTGTCACACTCCATCCACAGACGCCCGCCCTCTGCTCACTTGTTAAGGTTGCCCACTTCTCATAGTAATTCTTGTTTAACACTTTATATTCTGTACTTGGGCAGAAAATGTCACACTGTTGAGTATTCAATTATATAGCATTCCTCGTTAGTTTGAAGTATGTAAAAGATGAGCCTAATTCTCATGACCATTGTATGCCAGTGTTTGTGCAGTAAAGATTCTTTATTTCAAGAGTGTAGAAAGTGAAACTCATATTTCTGTTATTCCTTATGTTGCAGGGACAGGCGTTTGCTGCAGCCGGCCCAGGTGTGTGACATTCTGAAGGGTGTCATTCTGGTCATCTGCTATTTTATGATGCACTACGTCGACTACTCCATGATGTACCACCTGATCAGGGGGCAGTCGGTCATCAAGCTGTACATCATCTACAACATGCTCGAGGTGAGGAAGGGCCTCATGCACCCGATGGCCAGTCTAGCCTCCAGGCTCGTCCAGTCACTCAGGGGCTTTGTTAAAATGCAGATTCTGATTTAGTAGACCTGAGCCAAGGCTAGAGAATCTGTCTTTCTCACAGGATGGTGCCTGTGCTGCTGGGCCTGGGGCACTTGGGGTAGCAGGTCAGGGCATCACCTGCTCTCAGGAAGCTTCCTTGTTGAGTCATTGCCCCTTGAGAATGCGAATTGTCCTACGATGGGGAAATTTGTGTTGCAGATTCACTGGAAGCCCACATCTACTTTTTTCTAGAACTTAAAAAATTATGAAGAGAATGTTAGGTTTATGTATATGTTTGCTGTAATAGATTTATATTTTTAATTGCTTTGAATTTTTTACATAGAGCAAGTAAACATGTTTCCCAATATCTCTAAGTATTTAACATTGTTATACAATATATCTCACTTTAAACTGAGAGCAGTCAGCATGTGAAAATCTGCATTTATACAAAAATTAAGTTACACAGATAAAAAAAAATGCTTTATTTATAGGCAGAATCAAGTTTTTTAAATAGTGAGCTACCCTATGTTATATAATACATTTTTGAGCTTCAAATTGCTTTCTTCTTTACTTCTTTTTAGGAACATAGTAAGGTCTGCCTATGTTAAATTAGCCAGGACGGGTTTCCTAACGAGCGGGCAGAATGGGTGATGTGGGGTTGCCAGCCTTTCTGCTCGGAGGCTGCATTGCTGTGGTGTAGGAGGGCTTCCCTGCAGTCACAGAGGACGTTGACCTCAGGCCATCCTGGCTATTCCTGAATCCATTGACTGAGGTGATTTCAAACTAACCCCCAGCTTCCCGCTCTAGGCTTAGTGCCCTACACTTGCTTTGCCCCATGGATAGGATGCAGGCGGGAGGTGTGAGTCCGGTGTGCGTGGCGGAGTAGCCATCCTGCTCCCGTCCTCCTCTGGGAAGGACAAGCCTGTTTGAGTGGCTCTTCATGCCACAGCCCTACCTGCCTTCCCTCCAGAGGACTGCAGGTGGCAAGGGCACCTACCTGCCCCCAGCGTGCTGTGTGCCTCCTGATTCACAAAGCCTTCTACAGGCGCTGTTACTGTTATTATGAAATGTTTCCAGAAAAAGGACCCATGAATTGCTGATGAGAAGGCTTTATTGCTGTTCGCTTCATGGACTGTAGTTGATGGTTTATATGGAGTGGACAAGAAGAGTGAAGCTCTAGCGCAGAAGCTGCCTGCGATCCCGGTTACCCTGCCCACGGTGCTGGTTGCTGAATGTCTCTGATCCGCAGTTTCTCATTTGTAAATTGGAGATGCCAGGGGAATTGTGAGGGCTAAATAAGACAGGACATAGGAAGGCCTTAGCACAGTGCCAGGCACATGGTAAGAACTCCCTAAATGGCAGCTAGTAGCATTCCTTCATTTGGCAAATATTTGACATTTCCTGTATGCAGAGCACTTCCTTAGACCCTGAAGATCCAGGGCTGAACAAAGCCCAGTCTCATGGAGCTTCTAGCTTTCAGGGGGGAGCTAGACAACAAAGGAGGTATTAGGAAATGATACATGCCACGATGAAAAAGACCGTGGTGCCTTATACACTGTGGGAGCCACAGGAGGTCGGATGGTCTGGGAAAGGCCTCTCTCAGAATGTGCCATTTCAGCTGAATCCTGGGTGACATATCCACATAAAAATGTGCTTCATTTTACTTATGGTACTGTATTTGTGGAGACCACCACCTGAAAATGTCTTTAGGAAGTAAATCTGCATATTATATTCTATATAATAAACCTCAAACAAATTATAGCCACGGTTGTTGCAAATATTAGATATGAGTAGAATGGGTCAAGTGATGTGTTTGTCCTAAAGGGTTTAAGTCCAAGTCCTGAATTTGAATTGAGAGTTAAAACCAGAGGAACTATGATTTTTATGTGTCCTCTCCCTTCTGTTTTTGTCAGCATGTAATAAGACTTTTTTGTTGTTCCGGGCATAGCTAATTAGGCAGAGTCATTCGAATAACACCGAGAATTGGAGCACCCACTGCGTCAGAGTAAAGACGTGGCCAAGGACATGGAAACAGACGCGCTCCTTTGGAGCTGACCTTCAGGGTGTTTTAAATGCTTACTTTTGTGTAAATGCAGATCTCTAGTATTTGAGTTGCTTCTGAACTTCAGTAACATGTTTAAACAGAATATTAAGAAACATCTGTTCAACCTTTCTTTCTCTCTAGGTGGCAGATCGCCTGTTCTCATCATTTGGTCAAGACATACTAGATGCTCTCTACTGGACAGCAACGGAGCCCAAGGAAAGGAAAAGAGCCCACATCGGGGTGATCCCCCACTTCTTCATGGCTGTTCTCTACGTGTGTATCCTTTAGGCGCATCAGACACCCCAGCAGTCGATACGCACTCCACATTATTTGGTCAGCTGTTTCTCTCATTTAAGGGGTGTGTGTGTTTGTGTGTGTGTGTGTGTGTGTGTGTGTGTGTCCTAGACATCAATGTTAAATGTCTGTTTTCTTTTGAGAAATTAGTTTTAATAGTCATTGTAAATTCGCTTAAAGAGCCTCATGTGTGCACATTGCTTTGAACTGCTAAACAGCTCTGTTCTTGGTGTAACTGACTCTGTGGAAGGGTTTTTGACTGAAAGGTATTGTGCATACTTTACATTTACATAGATCTGTGTAACTTTTTATACGTATTTGAAATTTTTTAAAGTTTTCTTTAAGCCTGTGAATTCTTCATTATAACCTAGGCTTAAAATGTGTACAGTTCTCTAGAAGGGGAAAACTTGAAATTGGTCAGAAGGAGTTTTGGAGGTTTTATTGTCCACTCACATCCGCATCTTGAAGCTTTTCTTTTGAGAAGTAATTACTGTATTATATAGAAACTGTGTGTGTGCCCATTGATATATATTTACACACACGCAGACCCACATGTTCCATGTGGGGTCAGAACTCATTCGCGGGAATGTGCCACACGATTTTTCGTGCTGTCTGAAACAGTGACACTTGAAAGGATCAGATTAATACTTGGAAAGCTAGGGGACTAACTGGGAAGATTTCTATAGAGTAAAAGCTTGTTCCAAGTATAGTGGAATAAAAGTTACAATTCTAATTTAAATAAACTGTTCCATATGTAATATGAATGCAGTTTTGCAACTTGTGATGTCTTCAAAAATGACATATGAAGAAGCGTCTTAATTATCAGACAATTCTTACTGTCTTAGGTTCCTCATTCCCTGAAGAACCAGACAGGAAAATCTCTTCCAGACTTTTGCTTTGTGTTTTTTTTCTATTTTAGAATGCAAATTATCTTAATTCAGAATGTATATTGTTAAGTGTCTCCTTTCAGTATTTACCATAATTTATTCCACTTATTTAACAAACTTTTTAAAGGTCCTGTTTCCCAAGCATTGACCCAAATGCCAGAGAACCAGAGTGGACAGACAGCCGTGTTCCAGGACTTACAGTCCACATGAGTGGTGCACAGAGGTTGATTTCTGCTTTTTATTTCACATGGTGGCGTACATTTTAATCCTGTCAAATTTGGATCAATTAATAGAAAAATTACAAAGAATAAAATACTTATGTAAAACTTGACTTAGAAAACACAGTCATCTTTCCCCCTCATTGTTCACTTTGAAAATTGTACGTTATCTATTAATATAATATGAAAACAAACTAAGTTTTTTCCTTGACATCACTTACTGCTAGTTTTGCATGCAATTCTCATAATGGTTCAGGCAACGACTCTGAACGTAGCGTTTAACTCACACAACAAGTCCCTGCTCACCATCATGATGTCTAACAATGTGAGTATGAGATTTTACTTTACATTTCTGAAGTGAAATGGGCACCTTAACAGCAGTATTCTGGATGGGATAAGTTATTTTTTCTAAATGTTATTTATCCTTCAGGAAGTTTTATATGTATTATGTCACTTTTAAAACTGTTATAATGATAAGGATAATATATTTTTTTTTCTTTTCAGTTTGTTGAAATTAAAGGAAGTGTTTTCAAGAAATTTGAAAAGAACAATCTTTTTCAAATGTCCAATAGCGGTATGTACAGTTAGCCTCTTCTTGGAGCTTTGTGCAGTGTTATTTTGCAGTTCATTCTAAAACTCTGATGTCACATTACCTGTGGGGTATTGTTTCTTTGACTTAAGCTCTCCTTTTTCTTACTCTCTCAATGTCTTTACTAGGTTTGCTTATTAGTTAGGTTATTGCAATCTCAGGATGTTTAAGGTAATTAAAAATTACACATATTTATATAGCGCCTTACTATACTTTCAGAAGCTTCTCATGAATCCAGAAATTTCTTTGTAGCAGATGATATTATCCCAGTTTATAGATGTGAAAACTAGAACTCAGGGAAAGTAATTTGACTTTGCCAAGGTCACTAAGCTACTAAGAGTTATGACTGCTCAGGCCCCTCACAAATAAGGGTTAAGAGCTGAGCTACTCTGGAAAAGAACGTACTGCTCCTGACTGGGAAGAGTTTAGGGATTTAGGGAATACACGCGTGGAAAACGCCAGCTCACTTAGAGACCAAGGTTTAGCTGTAGAATAGAAGTCAGATCACTTGCTGTAGAGCAGCAGGGAAAGGTGAAAATAGGAAAAGAGAAACCAAGACAATTCGAGGAAGGATCCAAGGTGAAATTGAAACGCAGAGGGCTCTCTGGGGTCCCAGAGTTGAATGGCCAGGTGAGGCCCAGAATTATTGAGATACTAAAATAATAGGGATTTATCAGGTCAGCGCTTGTACGCTTACTGTTTACCAAGTGGGAATTATTCTGCCATACGGGGAGTCCTGTACTTTACTCTGCTTCTATTTTTTCTTCCTCTATAAAATGAAAACAGTTTTCGTATGTCCCCAAAGACCAGTGGGGGAATCTAACTCAATCTGAACAGATTGATGGTTTGAATATTTTTTGAAATTTATAGAAAACTGCAATTTCCATACTAGAATTATGTTGGCAAAAGAAGTAAATGGCTTACCTGTGTAGCAACATTCTGTATATAAAATAGTATATTTATTATACAGAAACATAATAATTTCATGTTCTTACTAAAAGAAAATTATTTTGTATATACACTGTGTTATATTATTTACGTGCACTATATATGTTTAATTTTTTTCAGATATTAAAGAGCGATTCACAAATTATGTGCTTTTGCTAATAGTGTGTCTAAGAAACATGGAACAGTTTTCCTGGAATCCAGGTGAGTAACTTTTAACAAATACATTGGTTTCTAATTTTACTCTTAAACCAAAGTCATTCTTTTACGTAGAATAAAATGAGTATTGCAGAAAACTACAGCATTTTAGCTGCTCCACTCTGGTCATTGGCAGAACCTGTCTCAGTGGAGTCGGTTAGTGGGTGGGATGCCGGGTAGCATGTATTAGTCTTCGGCTCACCGTGTCCCATAAACTGCGCAGTCTCCAGAGCTGTGTTCTTAGTGGCTGGGTAGGTGGACCCTGCAGCTTCCAAGCCTCGGTTTTTTTCACTGTAGTGTACCTTGGTTATCTAAATGCAGTCAGGCAGTCAGGCTTTTACATTTTAGGGGTTCACTAGAACTTTTTGCTCTTTCCTAACATTTGTCTTTTACTTACTGCCTATTAATTAGCATCTTGAATAATGATAAATTAGAGAAATGTAATCTAAAGCAATAAAGTGTTACTTACACATCTCTGAATTGAGGCTTGCAGGTTGTCAGAATTCCATGAATTTTTGCCATCCATGCAGTTGGCAGATGTTCACTGCATGTCTGCTGCATGGCATGTGTGGAAAGTGGTAACATATGTTAGGACTCACAGGCCTATAGAGGAAGTAGACAGGTAGTTACTGCACAGTCTGGTAATGCTGCAGTGAGCTCAATGGGAAATGATCCACGTGCTCAAGTATCTCAAGTAATTTAGAGTTTTCTAATGTCTGTCATTTTGTACAACTTTGTTCTTAAAGAAATGAGATCATGTTTTGCATTTTATTTATTACCTGCATGCCATGCATGTTATAGGCATTTAGTAACTTTTTGTTAATTTATTTTGATTCATTGCTAGTTTTCAAGGACCTGTGAAAAATCAGAAACAGATATAAAATGAGATCTGTGATCCTGGAGATATATCTTGAGAAGTTATTTTCTTGTAGAAGCCATAAAATCAGGTCCTCCGGTTCCCTCAAAGTCAGTGTGATGTCAGGCTCACTAAATCTGCCTTGCACTGCCTGTCAGCATGTGTGGCCCCAGCTCTATGGTCTCCACTCCACCCTCCAGGTGCCCAGGTCCTGAATCGCTACAGGCCCTTGTCAGCATCTCTAACTTTCTTTTTGCCCGGGCCCATTCTTATATTCTTCTTCAAGGTCTTAGGAGTTTATCTACATTTTTTATCAGGTGCTTGGTACTAAATTGACAATTTAATAAATGTAAATGTGGGCAAACTGGACAAGTTAGATCTGTATAACTGAAGTGAATTAATGAGTTATATCTTTAAGTCGTAATGACCAAAGAGGGGAAATTTTTCAGTTGACTTCAGCACATCCCTGCTCACTATTTACTGTCCCACTGAGGCAGCTCTGGAATTAAAGGACTTTATAATGAACCTGCTTAATTAATTGCCCACTAGTGGTCCCATGCTGGCTCCAGGAAGGGAGTCTGAGGCTCTGCTCATGCCGTGTCCTCTCTCAAATTGTGCTTGACACAGAGAAAGTGTAGAATAAGTATCTGTAAATGAACTGTCCTTCAACTTGATAATATATGGCTCCTTTGATAGTTTATTGAATGCTAGTTCTCTCTCTATTATCATTTGTTGAACACATTATAGTTTTGCCCTGTGAATTTCTGACTTCTGTGGTAGCCTTTGGTATTATAGATTCTATTTATAATAAGTAATTTAATTGTCTCTTTTTTCCTATACTTTATAGATCATCTCTGGGTGTTATTTCCAGATGTCTGTATGGTGATTGCGTCAGAAATTGCTGTGGATATTGTAAAACATGCCTTCATCACCAAGTTCAACGACATTACTGCAGATGTATGTATTTTCATAAGCAGTTAGTTTAGTGTTTGACACTGACTTCCACAAAGTTGTAAAATAACAAGTTTAGGTTTGTTGCATTTGTGAAGATAACAGAAGAGCACTACTACTTTAAAGTTAGAATTATAATTTTAAATTTCTAAAAATTTAAACTGCACAACTAAAATTATAATATTTCAGTATTAAACAATTCTGGTTCCACACTTTGGAGGTATAAAGTGACTAGTAGTTGAGGTAAGAGTGTCACTAACTCAAAATCATTATAAACTTAATACTGTCATCATCTGTTAAACTTTTAAAAATCACTGTTTTTATTTAAAACATTAGGCTTTCAGAACTCAATATTATCTTGCTTAGCATCTATTTTCTAAGAAGGCATCATTATTATTAGATAGAGAGGAATAACTTCTAAGCTGTTTATTTAATTTAAAATTTCCAGCCTCGCCAGTGTGGCTCAGTGGTAGAGTGTCAGACTATGAACCAGGAGATTACAGTTCGACTCCTGGTCAGGGCATGCAGGAGGCAGCTCCTCTCTCATCATTGATGTTTCTGTCTCTTTCTCCCTCTCCATTCCTGTCTCTGAAATCAATAAAAATAAATTTAAAAAAATAAAAGTTTTCCGAATTATTATATATATTACACTACTTAAAATAGCCACTATTCCACAAACTCTTAAACTCTCAGGACTATAATCATTGAGTATTTATCTGTGCCTCCCCCCTTTTTTAATCCTTACTGGAGAATATGTTTTGTCATTGATTTTAGAAAGGAAGAGGGGGAGAGAGAGACAAACATCGGTGTGAGAGAGAAACACTGATCGGCCTCCTCCCATGTACAACCCAAGCAGGGACTGAGCCTACCGCCTTTCAGTGTGTGGGATGATGCTCCAGCTGACTCAGCCGCCTGGCCAGGGCTAGTGTTTATCACCCTTTGAGGGGAAACCTTTAAAAGGCTTGTGAACATAACAGTTGGGGGAATTGCAGCTGTTTAACTCTAGTTGTGGGAAAACAAATAGAGAAACACTAGCCAGGTGTCTGCTTGGCTATTAAGACCTTTTTTCTGGTTAATTATTCAACATATTAATCTACAGAGTATATCTTTCCACATTATATACTTGCACTATATTACTTAATACTGCATTCTTATTTGTCTTTAGGTCTACAGTGAATATAGGGCCAGCCTTGCTTTTGACCTTGTTAGCAGTCGACAGAAAAATGTGAGTATTAAATCAAAGACAGAATCTGAAATTAACTGATGGTGGTTTAATTTAGCATGAAATATTGGTTAAGGGAAAGCTACATCAACTTAAACTTCTTACATATTCCTGTTCTTGACACTAAATTTTTACAAATTAATAAAAATAATATAACACAAATAGGGTATGATTTTTGTAGCTTTGTAACAGTTACCAACTTTGTATTTATTTAAATTTTAACGTTATAATTTAATTTGGTATATATGAAATGTTATAATTTCAATTTTGATATACAAATATTAAGAGATATTTTACACTTTTTTTAATACAAAATTTTTGAAATCCAGAATGTGTTTTACACATACAGCACATGTCAATTTGAAACAGTGCAGTATTTTTGGTTTTTTGTTTTAATATATCTATTGATTTCAGAGAGGAAGGGAGAGGGAGAGAGAAACATCAATGATGATCATTGATCGGCTGCCTCCTGCACGCCCCCCACTGGGGATCAAGCCTGCAACCTGGGCATGTGCCCTCACCAGGAATCGAACTGTGATCTCCTGGGTCGTAGGTCGATGCTCAACCCCTGAGCCTAACCTGCCAGGCAATAGAACAGTTTTAGATTAAGATATTAACACCCAGTAAACACATCAACTTAAAGCAGAACTTTTTTTTTTTTTGCTTTTGAGGTAAAATTTAGATAACTTTGTATTTAAAACTTGTTATGAACATTTAGATTTCCACATCATGTTGCTAAATTACATGATAGGTGTCAGGTGCTTTTCTTCCTTAGCACCTCGCCTGCATAGGGAACGTACCGGTGATGAGTGGGGAGCGCTCTGTACGCGTGGTTTAAATCCATGAGCCTTTCTCCCCTCTGTCCAGGCATACACTGATTACAGCGACTCGGTGGCACGGAGGATGGGCTTCATTCCTCTTCCACTGGCTGTTTTAGTAAGTCCGTACTTTCTTCTTTTTTTAAATGATGCAGTGCCCATTGTGATAGAATGTTAGTAAATGGATTATCAATAACTTTATTTCAAAGGGACTTGATATGGAAGTGGAAGGTAAATGACTTGGGCGGAAATTTTGTTAGGCGTTTGGGATTTGAGCCATCCGGTAGATAAGCGATACCAGGAACTGTTTTCACGTAATGGCCTTTCTAGCAATGAGAAAGCTCGTTTTGCTTATTCATCTGGCAAAGTTTCTTTTGGGCGTGGGCAGTATAGCACATGCTGGTAGAAATGTAAGTTGGTCTAGCATTTTTAAGGGGCAGCTTGACAGTTTGATGGAGTAATTCCAGTCCTAGAATTTATTCTAAGGAAATAGCTCCAAAAGGCACGTGATGACTTACAAACAAGGTTATACATTACAGGGGCATTTATACAAAAAGCTTGGAAACAAATGAAATAGGTTAAATTATGATAGACTCAAATGAAGAAATAGTCTCTATTCATTTTCCAAAGTTTTTACAATAAAAATTTCTAGTCCTATATTCAGAAATTATATATATTTTTAAGTAATAGCACTGAAATTTACTAAATCCACTAAAGTCATCAAGTTTATGTCTTAATGAGTTGCTCAGAATGGCCTTGTAAATAGTGGCTGTCCACGTCAGGCTCTAATGATGTTCCTTATGAAGGTTGGCTGGCTGCACTTGTACTTGGTTATATTCCTTACTGGCTACCTGTTCTCACATCAGAACAGATGCAGCCATCTTTTTGCCGGAGGTCATCTGGAGTTCTTAATGCGGCCTTCAGAATCACTGAGAGGTGAAGAAGCTGTAGGTTGTATCAGCTGAATTTTAGACCAACTGGCCTGACTTTTTTTGAGGATTGATGGTCAATAGATTTAATGTTATTTAAATTTCAGTGCAGCCCTCCAGATAACCACATCATAACAGAGGCAATATTTACTTCTAAATATTATCTTAGGTCCTAAAATGAATTCATATCCAAAAAAAGTAAAGAAAATTATGTATTAAGGTCTCATGGAAATGAGGCTTAGGACATATGTATCTTAAAGTTACCTAATAATATACTAGATTAAAATTAAGTCATTTAAGCCTTTAATGTGATCATTGGCAAACCTTTTCTATAAACAAATAAAGTCCTGGAGCCACATTAGTTTCCATCACAGCTGTTTTTGCAGCAGGCCATTTCCCCATTAGAGACACTGATGGGGATTCTGTATCTGTTTTCTCATAGCAAAACTTACCGAACACAGGACAATCCATCCCCTTTATTTCCTCCCAATCGTTCTTTTATTGGCAGCATTTAAAAAGTAATTGTTTAAAATGCATCTTATGATGTTTATTTAATATTGTTTAAAATGTACCTTATGGTGTTTACTTAAGACACCCTAATAAGCTCTTTTATTAGCTGATAACATTACTAGATAAGGTGAATTATTTTCCCTGACTTTCCTTTTTTTTTTTTATCTTTATTGATTTCAGAGAGGGGAAAGGAGAGGGGGGGAGAGAGAGAAATGTCAATGACGAGAGAGTCATTGATCCACTGCCTCCTGCACGCCCCCGACTGGGGATGGAGCCCGCAACCCGGGCATGTGCCCTGACCGGGAATCGAACCCTGATCACCTGGATCCTAGGTCGATGCTCAACCGCTGAACCACCCCTGGCCAGGCTCCGTTTCCATATAACAGTCCCCCTAGACTCTGATACAGTTTCCCCACTATCTGGACATAGAGCATTTCTATCAAACCTCTCATAAGCCAGAATGGCGTAGGTCATAGAAGCAGTGGATGTTAATTTATATGTCTTTATTTTGTTTATCACAATCAAAATGTTTAATTCCTTCCAGTTTTACACTTAAGTTAAACACCCTTCCGAGCTCTCTTAGGCTTTTCTGCTATCTAAGGACACATGTTGCTAACAGATACACAAAATAAATGGAGATAAAGCCCAGATGCTCCCAGACACAGCCTGCAGCTGTGGTAGCCTGATGCCGAGACTCCAAGTATGGGTCCCTGGGAAGGAACTTGGCAGGGCCACTCTTGCTGCTTGGGCTGTGAGCTGCATCCATATCAGCTTCCTGCAAATCAAACGCTGGACACTATATTTGCTTTTTATAGTAAAAGTGAAAATCACCTCTGGATTTCTTTTGGTTAGCGAAAACAGGTACCAGTGCAGGTCTTTTGTAAAAGAGCGGTATAAAGTGACCTTTCAAAAGCGGAGATACCTGTGTATGGGCACATTGTTAAGCCAAAGCTATAGTATGTAAGTATTTTCCAGGACAGATCCCACCACATTTACTCAGCAGGCTTCCCAGGGTAAAGACTCTATTGCTATATTTCTGTGAGATAAAAAAAAACAGGTGTTTAACCATAACTATCCAAGAGAGGCAGAGAATTTCAATCTTTACGTAATTGATTTTGTAATAGTATTAGTTTTTTTAAGCACTACAAATCTCTTAAGGCCCCCTGTTCTCTCTGATCCCTGAGAGTCATTGGGTTTCTTAAAAAGAGCCAAAGAACAGAGGACAAAAGGCAGGAAAACTGGAAATGCCCACTCAGTGGTTCCAGCCCTGCAGGGACACATGCAGCATGATGGGTCCATTCGTATTTTCCAGAATAAGTTGCCATTTTAAAAATCAGTGTATTTGCATCTCTATTGGGGCCCAGCAGATGTGTCATTTATGAACTAGGCACAGTGTCTGAACAGTTAGCCTTAGCCACGGGCATCCTGGATTTGCCTGAACCACCCAAATCTTCCCCAAACGTTTCACAGCTGCCAGTTTATTATGAATGGCCTAGAACTGCCTGCTTGATTTAGACATGCCACAGGTGTGTGCCAAGTGTTAAATCAGCATGGGTGGCTCTTTATTAAATATGAACTAATAACTCTGGTTGTGTGTTTTGTTTATGTGTTTTTGTTGTTTTGGTCTGTTTCTGGCTAGCTCATCAGAGTTGTAACAAGCTCAATTAAAGTGCAAGGAATCCTGTCTTATGCCTGTGTCATACTCTTCTATTTCGGGTAAGATGAACTATTCTTGAATATGTTTTTGGTTGTATAGTAAAGTATAAGTGCAAGATGTAATCAAGTCCTACTGCACCCATTCTAACTGTCCCGGGGCTCCCATAACAGCCTGTGCCTCCAAATGTGTTTGTGACTCAGTTAAGATTTAGCTCAATTAAATCGCTGCTATTTGCAGGTAGTATTAATAGCACTTTAGATTTTATTTTAATCTTTAGTGAAATCATCTACTTAAAGCTCTTTTTGCTTAGGAGTTAAGGTTTACCATATTTTCTTTTATAAAATAAAGTCCGCCATTGCATTCAGACATTTCTCTATGTGCAAAAACCTCTTTGAATTTCTCCTTCACCCCAGCAAGTCCCAGGAATCTCCATTCAGTGAAAACAAGTCAGCACTCAGCTCACCTCCTGACATCAAATGCTGTGCTTTCCCCACCCTACGTTCAGCCTCTTGCCCTGCAGACTGTTCTCACTGAGCTATGGGGGAAGCTTGTGGCCCTGCCCTCACGGGTCCTCTGCTTAGCCCCCCTCAGCGAGTGAGCAGGGCTCACAGCTACTCCCAGTGCTGGTCTAGGGACCAACCGCGAAAAACACAAGTACCTGCCTTGTTGTCACTGAAGTTCCAGTGGGAAAGTAGGCAACAACCAGAAAGGCAAATTACTATAAAGTGACAGTTGGTAGCAAGTGTCAAGAAGAAAACCATGGTCGGGTTGAGTCGGGATGGAGAGTGACAGAGGTGGCTGCCCTGGGGAGAGCGGCAGGGGAGGCTGCTACTTCAGTGCAGGCGGATGGAGTGAGGGGAAGGCCATGCAGATGCCTGGGAAGATTAGGCTCAGAGAGGACACAGGACAGGCCTGATGCGAAAGACCAGCTGGAGCACAGCAGCTGGAAGCACATTGGAGAGGACTGGACAGCCCTGGGAGGGGCTTCAGTTTGTGGGAGGGAGAGCCCCTGGAAGGTTCTGAGCAGGAGAAAGCAAGTTCCCCTTGGCTTCTTGCCAGAGCCACTGGCTGCTGTGCAGAGAAGCAAAGTCAGGCTGGGTCGGGGCAGGTGACTGGCTGGAATTGGAGGGGTAAGAATTTGTCAGCTGGAGGTGTATTTTGAAAGTGGAGCTAGACCGGACTTGGGGATGACCGGCTGGATGTGTGGCATGAGGAAATGAAAAGAAGCAAGTGTAATTACAGTTTGGAGCCCAAGCAGTCAGGGCAGTAGAATGGCCATCAGCTGTGACGGGGAAGCCTGTGGCATATGTGGGTTTGTTTTGTTTTGATTTTTGGAGGATAGAGCTGGCATCCATAGTTCTTAGATCTCGCAAGTTTGGAATCCTATTAGCCATCCTATTAGTCGAAGAAGGTATGAGTGAGGATTACTGAGCTCAGTGGGGCTGGGAGTGAATTGGGTCATATTCCCAATATATGCCTCAGAGGACCGGCTGGCTGTGGAGCCGTGTGAGGCCCGCAGAGCTGCGGTGTGAGCTTTCTCGCCTAGTGTCGAGGCCGCAGGGACCTGCCGGGCCCCTCCTCGCGCTCCCCCCCACTGACCTGTAGTCTCCTGTTATCGCCGGGGTTTCGTCTCAGGTGTAAGACACAGCAGCCACTTCCTCACTCCCTGCAGGCAGCAGTGAGGCCCTTGGTGCTGTCATGTAAGGCCCCGAATGTGAGGAGGTTCCAACGCAAAGAGTTGTTTCAGAATTTTTGCCAGATTTGTATCAAACACCTGAAAATGTTATATACCTTTGATCTAGAAGTCCAACTTCTGTAATTATAGCTATCTAGGAATTTATTTTAAGGAAATACAGATTTAACATAAGTTTTCTTAATCAGAAACTTTTTAATAGAAGAAAAATACTTAAAATATTCTAAATACCTGGAAACTGAGGGCCTTGAGGGGCTTTGTTATATGACAACCCATATCGCGCAATATTATAAGTCCATTAGAATAGTGCCCCCGAGGAAAAAACATTCATCACGTATTGTTTACGTAAAACAACAGTGATAATAACGAAATACGAAGATCGGCTGGCATTTCTGTGTGCCTGGCACTGCTCTGTGCACCTTACCAAAGTTACCTCCTCTGGATGGACGGGTAAGAAGCTCAGGGCCACGCAGCTCCTAGGCAGTGGAGTCAGGTATGAACTCAAACACATGGCCCCGAGTCTGTGCTCTGACTCCAGACTCAGCCCCTCCTGCCTGGTAACCCCCTCCTGAACAGGGAAAAGGTACAATCGATGGATATGCATAGCAGCAGGGCTAAGAGGTGATGCAGCAGATGGCACAGGGGTTAACGCTGGAGTGTGCAGTTATAAGTTATTTTATATATCTACTTTTTGCCCATCTGCATTTACTAATTGTATTTGTTTTGTAATAAGAGAAAAAAACGTTAACTAATTTGGAAGGTAAAACTTCTAAGAGATACAAGAAGAAAATAAATGTGAGTTAGAATGTATAACTTTTAAATGATATTTCTTCTTACACTGAGAAGTAGGAATTTATCATACATCCCCCGTGATAAGGAAACATCAGGAAACTCGCGCTTGGGTTGGGCCCTCAGTGTGGGAGGGTCTCAGACTCAGGCCCTCTTACCCCTGGGCCCCCTGTTCACCTGGTGGTGGGTGGCGTTCGCCGTGATTGAGATGAATTCCAACAGTGGTCATTCGTCTCTTTCTGCATTTAGGTTGATATCCCTGAAAGTACTGAATAGCATTGTGCTATTGGGAAAATCATGCCAATATGTGAAGGAAGCCAGAATGGAAGAGAAGCTGTTTAACCCTCCTCCCACCAGCACTCCCAGCAAACCGTCCAGTAAATCACAGAGCAAATGCAAACCCTCCCAAGGTAGGTCAGGTTCTTCCTGAGCTTCTCTGCATTTCCTGAAGTTCTTTGTTTGCACTCTCCCTGGTAAAAAAAATCACTGCTCCATCAGCATTTAGCAATGTTTTCAAGATCTGACTTCACTTTGCTTAGTTGTTACTGTTAACGTTTCTGTTTAGACCTCATCACAGATGCACCCCATGCAGTGCTCTGAGTTTTTATATTTCTTGGTGGTTCTGTAGATGGTCAGTGAGCCCCTGTTACACGGGGATCCGCTGTGGGAGGAAAAGGCAGAGCTTATTCTAGGTTGTCAGGGAGAGGGAAGGAAAGGAAGCCAGTGAATGAGCCCTCTGTGAGGTGGTAGTGAGTAGGTGCTGCAGAGAAAACTAAAGCAGGGACAGGGAAAGCGGACACTGCCCCAGCCATGAGGGGACACACCTTCCCGGAGGGGCGATGGGGTCAGCCGACATTTTAAAAGATTCTCAAACGTGACAAATAGAGTGAAGGAGGGCAAGCCCAGAGGCCGGGGCTGGGAGCCCTCCTGGCTCTGCAGAGGTTGGTATGAGGGGAGGACTGACGAGATCCTGGAAGGATCTGAAAGCACAGGATTTGCTGATGAGGCTGTGCAGTGTGAGGAGGAGAGGAAGCGAGGGTGACTGCAGGGTGTCTGGCCTGGAAGGTTGGGAGGAAGAACTGGGACTTAATTTTTGTCATTAGATGCCAGTTCTCTGTCCACATGGATACTACATTCATAAGACTTTAAGTTTAATTGGTTTATTTTAAATGAATGGAGCCACTGTGTGCCTGGATGATACAGAGGTAAACACATCATGATTTCAGGGCCTCACAGACTGGCAGGAACCACACAGTGGATAATCCAGTAAGGAAGTGAGGTTATAGATAAGCGTGAGGGGACAGAGAGGGTCCATTCCTGGGGGTGGTTATGCCCCAACTAAATCTCGATGGGTGAGAAGAAATAAGCTAGACGAAGATGGGTGGTGAGGGCACTTCAGGAAAGGGGTGAATCCTGGAGGCCTAAGGAAGCTTCCAGAGAGTAGCATTTTCTCAGACAGGAGAGAGAGATGAGACTGGAGCTGGGCCAGAGCCCGGTCTGAAGGGAGGGCCATGTTCACCGTGTGTGCCTTACAGGGAGCTCATATAAAGTGAAATAAAAAGTTGTAGCATCACTTGAAATAATTTTTTCATTATAAAGAACACATAAATACTGTTAGTAACATGGGATTGCATGTGCTTCACCTAACTGGATAATTCATGGTGGGTCGTAAGCGTCCTGTCATGCTGGGCTCCTCCAGCTCATTAAAAAATTAATCTTGCCTTAAAGAGCCTCCACACTAATGGGGGGATGGGCCCTTAGGCACAGGTCGCAGGTCAAGGCCACCAGACCCAGGGCCGTGTATAAGAAGGGAATTTCGGATGAGCTGTCTGAGTGTGTGTAGAGGTCAGGGGGTCAGGAGAGCACAGGCCAGACAGCACTCAGGGAAGTGTTGCGAGGCAGGCAGGCGGCTCAGGCCCATTCGGGGATGAAGAATGGCCCCAGCTCTCAGGACAGCTCAGTGTTCGTCGTGCGTGTACTTTTCAGTACCACGATATTGGTTAGCTCATCTTTAGTATAAGTTGGGAGGAATCCTTTTCTAACTCAAGAACTTGTTTTTCCGCAGAAGAAAACCTGTCCGCCTCAGTCACCACCCAGCCCAGCCACCAAAAGGAAAATGTCCCACCACTACTGGTGACCAGCAACTCCGACCAGTTTCTGACAACTCCGGACGGTGAGAAGGACACAGCTCAGGAGAACTCGGAACTGAAGCACAGGTCCGCGAAGAAGGACTTGCTGGACATAGACCGGTTCACAATTTGCGGAAACCGGATTGACTGAGTTCTGCGGCTCCGTGTGCTGGGCGCCGGGTCCCGGGGCCGCCAGGCTGCGCTACCGGGCGGACAGTTGCAAAAGCGGCACTTAAGTATTTATTTAAAAACTTAAATTATTAACGGAAAGCAAATCTTAGTATCTTCCAGCAATGTGGTCTGGTTGAAGGTCAGGTCACGGAACAGCAGCGACCTCCAGCCTTGACTGCTTGGGGGCTCCTCCTGCCCCGAGAAGCAGTGGTCAATTCCAGTCCAACGGAAACAGCCTCAAAACCACTCTGCTCTGTCCGTCTGTGCTTCCAGAACATCGGACCTGGCCGGGGGTCTCTGCGGCGTGAGGACGTCCACCTGGGAACCCGAAGCTTTCTCCGTGACTTGGCCTGCCTTGTCTCACACTAGTTTCACAAGCAGTTTGAAACTTGACTTCATCTGCCAAAGCGTTTTAGGAAGATAATTGAACTTAAGGCAAGATAATTCTCACCACAGAATAATCCTCGGAGATGTACCTGAATGCATCAGAAAGAAAGGCCACCTTAAATAAGACGTGATGAATAGTAGCATTTTATAGGAAAAAAAAGCCCTAAGCCCGTTTGTCTATTTAAAATATACTCATTAATGAAGGTCATGCATCACTGAGAAAATGTGTTATAATTTTTCAGTTTACTCTTTAAAGGAAAGTGGGAGCCGTGTGTTGTTTGATTGCTGTGGATGAAATAGAAATTACCTCACGAAGAGGTGCTTTTATACTGAAAAAGCAGAACGGTGGTAACTTAAATGCATAGTTAACTGGTGTCACTTTAAAACTAATTGCTCCATCAACCGTTACAGTTAAAAGGATTTAGTATTGAATAGTCTGAAGAACTGTACAAAATTCAAAGGTGTCCACCAGAACTGAGTTTTTAAGTAACAGTTTTAAAGTACATGAGTGGGTTTGAGCAGCATCGACTTGCTCAGGCTTAGAAAGTGCATTAGCCTTTCTGTCTGGCGTGTCCATGGTGTGCACATGCTGGGCACAGGTCTGTGCTCTGTGGGAGTGTCTGTGGGAACATGTGTCGGGTGGGGAGATGGGGCTGTGGGCTGTGCCTGTGCTGCGGGGAGAGCGTGCGTGGGGTGTGTGGGTGGCTGGCTGGGTGTGGGGACGTGTTTGTGTGTGGATGTTGGGAACAGCAACCAAAAGGTGCTTTTTGGTTTTGTTTGGGGTCAGATTCCATTTCTGCTTACATCCTGGATTTGTGGCCTGCACCATAGAACAATCTATTTTCTACCCCCTTTTATCTTGAGAAACCTTCCTGCATCTTTCTGAAGATTTTGCAGCCTCCAGTTTCAGAGCGTCCAGAGGTCACTGTAACTGTTCTTTCCTTTGACGTTCTTGTTTTGAAGTTCGGCTCCTGTGCTGCTATTTGGGGCATAGTATATGCAGGGGTAAATTTGGGGGGATTTGTTTGTTTCCTGGTTGAAACATAAAACTAGTGAATGCTCTGGCTTTTCATATGACATACAAGTTAATTTTAATGTTTTGCATTAACTAAAGAAATCTGAAGATTAACGTTCACATGGGGTAAAAGGAAAACTGTACAGAGATGCTTTTGTGAGACCATGAAGTACTTAGAGTTAAAAATGAAGACTTTTAATGGCTTTGTGTATGTTTCATTGAAGCCCTGTTTTAGAATTTTTTTTCCCCTCTTCTTTTCTCCACGAAAAGGAACAGTGTCCACGATGAATAGAAATAGCTTGGGGGGAAACTTTGCCAAACAGCCCTGATCAGAGCAAGAATATGATGGGGGAGTATCTTTCAATTCAGCTCGAATTACTCTGTTACTGTGCTGTCAATTCCGCAAAATTTTAATCTCCTTTGCAGAATATATTGGGAGTTCAGAACAATGTTCATGTCTTCTGTCAAAATGGCATCCAGTACTAATTTTATAAGTGCATCTTGTGTGAAACTCAATAAATTCAATTTTGTAATCTTTTTTTAAAAAGGTCATTGAATTTATTTCGATGATGTTTGCTGCTGTTGTTTTGTTGTTGTTGCTGTTACACTTGGTGCGGTGAATTTCCCATTCTGTGTGAAGCTATTTCTAACTTACAGTGACAGGACTGTGTCATGTGAGTGATTCTTGTGGTCTTACTGCTGACAAATGTTTGATTCTTGTCTTTAAAAAAAAAAAAGGCTGGGCCTTGATCACAGACCTTTTAATATCTGTCAGCAAGTGAAGGCACTTGCATTTTACAGGTGTTTTGAATGTCATGCAATATTCTTTTCACACCTGGGAGTCAAGTTCAAGACAGTACTTTGGTTTTAAAAATAATCTCAAGCACAACATGGTCAGACTTTCACTGGCTTTCCTTTGGAATTGAAGTATAAACACAGGGTCATTCAGGAGCTTGTCCAGATTTTCTTGGTACTTTTGTATTTTGGGCAGCATGTAGACTTTACACTCTTTGTACACGTCCATGGAAGAACCTTGTTATAAATCCTCAAACATTTTCTTCCCGCTCTCGGGACACACATTCACAAAGTAATTTAAAATTACTACATTGTGGTATGTCTCAGCTTTATTTATTCTTTCAATGGAGATTTATTAATCACCTATGTATCAGGAACTAGTTTATTATTTTTTTAATGTTTTAATTTATTTTTATTGTTGCAAGTATTACAGATGTCCCCTCCCCCCACCGTTGATCTCCTCCAAACTGCACCCATCCAGGCCTCACCACTCTCTTGTCTGTGTCCATGGGTTATGCATTAAGTTCTTCGGTGAGTCTTTCCCCACCCCCTGTCCCCTGCCTTCCCTCTGAGATTTGTCAGCCTCTCAGGAACTATTTTGAATGCCGTGATCAGCAGTGGATCGAGTCCCTGCTCTCCTGAGGGAGGCAGATAGCAAACTTGCCAGTGAACTAACGTGCCAGAGACACAGCTAATGAATGACTAGGTGATCTGTTGGTTTCAGTTCTGAAATGAATCTAGTTCTTCTTTAAGGTTTTTTTGTAAGTCTGATTTTTTCTTATTGAATTTGCTTAAAATAATTGTAATACAGTTTCAAGTGTTTATCTATAAAGTTCAAAGAAATAAGAAAATGCTTTTACTAAAGACGCTAGTTGTCCAGAGACATAGAGTGGTAGCTGGGCACCAAGCTATTTAGTTAAGGGCTACATCCTGAGTCCGTCCTACTGTTCCGTGCGGCCAAGTGACTGATTCTGACCAAGGGGTAGAAGTGTATATGCCGACCCTGGTCCCCTCCACCTTCTCTCTGCTTCCCACCAGCCGGAACCCAGAGAAGGTGTGCCCTTGGCCAACCATGCAGACAGGTGCTGGGTGCTCACAGCATGCAGGGAAGGAACCTGCGTCCCAGGAAGCCTCTGTGGAGCCTTCCACACAGCTCTGCCTGTAACGAGAGAGCAATAAATGCCTTCATTTCTAAGCCACTGAATGTGGAGGGCCTGTTGGCCCGCACCCATACACCAGGGAATCTGAAAGGGCCTATTTAGAGATCTTCACACAGAAGGAGTGAGGTGTTAGACCCGATTCTCTAAAACATGCTTATGAAAATACTCGGATTCACATTTACTATCCGTTGTTTTCAGGGAGAAAGATAAAGATTACTATGCCCACTTACTTACTCAGCAGTCAGCCTCCTAGCACCCCGACCATCTCGAACGGAACATCAAGCTTGCCCCTCGGTGACAAAGTCCTCTTTGACCCTATGCTCTACCAGACAGCTCTGCCTTGCCCCTTAACTGCTCAGGGAGGCTGTGTGCACAGTAACAAGGTAGATGAGTGTAGCCTCGCAGCACAGAGAAGTGGAAGCAGAAGGAGCTAATATGTCCAAAGAGCAGCAAAAATGTCATCTGAGGCCAGTTTGAGACAACGGTGCCATGCAGGTGACAGCTGAAAACATCCCTGTGTTCTAGCTCCATGTGACACGCAGCATTCATCAGTGCCCAAAACATCCAGGATGGTTTAGATTGTGTCTAATCCGATTAAGGAGGGATGTGTACAACTGAGAGGGGAAGTTGTTAAAGAAACTGGCGTTCTAGCCTGGCCGGCGTTGCTCAGTGGTGGAGCGTAGACCAGTGAACCTGGAGGTCACGGCTGATTCCCGGTCAGGGCGCACGCCCGGGTGGCAGGAGGCAGCCGGTCAGTGACTCTCATTGATGTTTCTCTCTCGCTCTCCCTTCCTCTCTCTGAAATCCGTAGAAACATTTGAAGGAGAAGAAATTGGCGTCCTAGGGGAGTTGCGGTGCCCCGAGAGTTTACTAATGCTCAGCAGTGCCAACGGGACTTCGCTGTTCTGAATCAGTAAGAGGAGCCAACACAGCAAGTCGCGTTGGGCACAGTGCAGTGAAGTATTTGAAGCTGATGCCAGAAGTAGTGAAGGAGAAGGGTAGGTATCTGCACGACGTATTTTGCCTCTAACAACTTTCTTTTTGGCCAATGAGGAAACTAAGGGGGGGTCATGAAAATACACTTGGCCCCTATTTAAGGTGATAGTTCAAGAAATACCGAAGGCATCCACTCTTGAAGGGTGAATCACCTGCAGAATGGGTCGTTATTTTCAATAGCCATTTCCTCACTTCATTTTAGATACGTCTACATAGGAATGCAAATACTGGGGAAAGTCAGAAATAGCTTTCACGTCAGGGTTAACAAGAGAACTGAAAGGCAGTAAAAATGCATCAGTATCTTCTTGGGCTTGATTGAACAAACATAATTGCGCAGTCACTGTGCAAAGCACAGAAATGAATAAGCTGCTCACAAGGTATATCTATCGTCTGGTGGGGGGACCGACAGTCAAACCAGGCGATTCCAGCTCCCTGGGATAAGCACTGCCATGAACACAGGTCCCGATCGTAGCAGAACATCCAATTCACACGGTCCCACCGTGTTCACTGCTAGCATCTGGTGCGTAGCCTTAGCATCTTGTGCGTTTCCTGGCACTTGGAGGCAGCCAGTATTTACTGGATATATAAACACGGGAGCCATTGTGGAACATGTGCACTTGGGCCGCCTTTTAAAAAGAGAAGGAATTAAGTGGGTAAGAAGGGAAAGGAAGAGCAAGCCGGGCGGGCGAAGGAGGAAGAGCCCAGCACAGGGCTTCATCCACTCCCTGGTACGCAGCCGAGTGCCCGGTACATGCCAACCATCAGAGCTTTGTTCAGGGGAATTGCAGAAGGAGGAGGCAGGGGCTGGATCTTGGAGAGCTGGGTTTTTGTTGTTTTTGTAATATGACTTTATTGATTTCAGAGAGAAGGGAGAGAGAGAGAGAGATGGAAACATCAATGATGAGAGAGTCATTGATCAGCTGCCTCCTGCACGCCCCCTACTGGGGATGGAGCCCACAACCCGGGCATGTGCCCTGACCAGGAATCGAACCCTATCTCCTGGACCCTAGGTCGGTGCTCAACCGCTGAGCCACGCTAGTCGGGCATGGATCTTGCAGAGCTTCTAACTCCTTACCAAGAATCCTGGACTGGATCCAGTGGGCAGTGGGGGGAGCTTAAGTGGAATCTGAAGTTGGGTGGTTGTCACTACCAAATGAGAGAATAAATGGAAAAAACTACTTCGTAAACTATAAAGTGTTACATAGCTTGTTGAAGATCACGCAGGCAGCAGATATCGGAGCAGAAGTGAAACCCCTTCCGTAGCTGGAAAACCTGTGCCCCCCTCTGAGCTGTAGGTGCTCGGGAGAAGAGGGAGAAGCACAGCAAGGAGACCTCTCCGGAGGCAACTGCCGGGATTCCTGCGAGTATGAAGATTCGAGATGTAGGGCATGGTGACCTTTCGGATATCAGACGTCTAGATGTTCACCCCTCCGGGAAGTGCAAGGGAGGCCAGCTGGTGCAGGAGCCAGGACTTGCTCTGTGTGACACAGCAAACCTCAGTCTGGTCATCTGTAAATTGGGCGTAATACTTCTCAGGGTTTGGGGAGGAGCAGATAATGCATCTGAACTCAGTTCACAAATGCTGCAGCGCTGTACGAATCTACATTGTGTTGGCCGTCACCACCTGACGCCTCAGAGCCTAGATCAGTGGTCCTCAAGTGTGGTCCCTGGGCCAGCAGCAGCGCACCACCGGGAACCTGTTAGGGATGCAGATTCTTGGCCCCCGCCCAGACCTGTTGAGTCAGAAACTGGGAGTGGGGCCCACCGCCTGTGTTCACGGCCCTCCAGGGGATTTGTATGCGTGTGCAGGTTTGAGAGCCGCTGGCCCAGAGCCATCACTCCAGGATCTGGACCTGAGAATTACAGGGCCATAAACAACTCCCAAGGTAAAGATTGGGGAGACAAAAATAGAAGCTGGGCCAAAGCTCTTCAGCATATGCCTCCATTTTCTTTAAAAATCTTCATTTGACTGGTGTCATTTGCTCAAGGCCAGGCAGCTGGATGGAACAGAGCAGGGTTTAGGAACCAGGGACTTCAAGATGTCCTCAAACCTCAGTGCTCTGCCCCCCCATACCCTCAAGGCTCCCCCACTCCCGCAGTCGTGGAACCTTCCAACTGGTCACGCAGAGACCACAGAGCACGGAGTCAAGGTACCATGTGATGCTCCAAAGCTCTAATCACCAAGGGAAGTTGAGGAGAGGGAAGGACACACAGTCCGCTGAGGGGTGCAGTTGAGCATCTGTACCCTTTGCGAGTGGCTCCTTCCTGCTCATGGGCACATCCTCTGCTGTAGGAGCCAGGGGCAGAGCGGACAAGGCAGGCTCATGTTCCAGTGGAGACAGCATCGAGTGAAGGTGGGAGCCCTGGAGGACTGAGCAGGGCGATGGTGCTGTGGAGAGAACTCACTGCCGGATGTACTGGAAGGGCGCTCTGCCGTGCATGTGTCTTTATGTGCTCCCTCAAGTCCTTGGAAGATGGTGGTCAACAAAGAATTAATGAACAAGCAAACTCTCCATTCTCGGGCAAAGTTGGGCTCCCCTGGACTGAGAGCTGAAAGAAATAAATAAGTGATGACGATGTGACGAGAAAACCTTGT